TCTCTTCCTTTCTAGAGGTAACCTCTTCCCCGAAATTAATGTGTATGCTATCTGTGCATATTTTTTGCTGCATTTGTTCCATATTCTGTAGCATTTGCAGTCTGACTTTTTTAATACAACATTGTGAGATTTATCAATGATCTTTACATGTGTAATACATTTAGTTTAAATGCTTTACAATATCATTCCATTATATGAATCCGAAAGTTAATTTATCTGTTACCTGACTGACAATGTTGTTCAGTTTTTTACTAAATATCTTGCTGCAGCAGACATCTTTACACACACACACACACACACACACACACACACACACCCCAAACCTTTCATGTGTTCCATTCCATTAGTTTTTAATGATAAAGAAAAAAAATCTTAATCTAAATTCAGAAAACACTGAAACACCTCTTTGAGCTTACTAAACATTGCCAGTTGCCTTCCCAGATTGATTGTATAAATTTATACTCATACCGAGCAATGCATTGTAATTCCTATTTTCCCAAATATCTTCCAAATTTTAGCCTGATTTTAGTCTGATCTTAATTCTTATCAAGGATTGATAATCATTATTATTGTTTACAATCTTTACCTACTTAAATTTTCTTCTTATAAGCATTCTTCACATATTGTGGATACTATTTCTTTGTTGATTATTTTGGGATGTAAGTATCTTCTCCCTGTGGCATGTTTTTTTAACTTTGTATGTGATATTTTTTTGTTGATCAGAAGTTTAACTTTCAATGTGGTCACATTTATCAATCTCTTGTGATTTCTGCTTTTATATCTTGAATAGGAAAAATCTCATATCTTATATTCGTCTATAGTTCTAAAAGTTATTTATTTAAGTATTTATGTATGAGATAGGAATCCATATTTATACTTGCCTATTTTACATATGCTCATAGAATTTGGATGTGTTGTCTTCATTTGTGGAGATCTAGGGATGATTTTAATTTTTTACACATGCTATTAAGCTTTAGAAAATTTTCAAAAGAATTTACCTATTCTTTTAAAGTCTAGCTGTACAGTATAAGCTTTTTGGTGTTGTTACCAGCGATATGATCTTGAGTCTTTTAGACATAAGAGTGTTGGCAATATTAGTTTGTGTTTTGAAGTAAGAAGCAATATTAGACTTCTTTGCTGTTTTTGATCTTTTTTCATTGACTTGTTGGAAACAATTCTTGTGGGAGTTATTTTTTTCTTTTGTAACCATTTTTAAACAATTGTGGTTCTTAAGCAAAATAAATGTTACTCTTGTAGTCTAAAAGCAAACTTATACTTGAGACGGTGAATAGGTTTCAGATAATTGATTTTTTAAAAAAATAAAATTCCTTGTCTGCTTTTGTACATTTCCTCTTTGGATTCAGTGTTTCTGGACTTTAAACTTGGAAGATCTTTATTTTTCTTTCTTTTTTGTAAAATAATAGACATGGCTTTGTGGCATCCATATTAAAAATGGGTAATTTTCCTTATGGTCCCTGTCTTCCTGCTGGGTTGATAATGTTTTGATGTATTTTTCTTTTGCTCTGATGAGAGGTCTGCTGCTGCTGCTCTGACATATTCATTTGGATGAATAATTATAACTTGCACAATGTCAAGCTGAAGATGGTAGGGTTTTGTGCGTCATGACAAGCCTAGTAGCCAGTGCAGGTGTCTCACAGCATGATCAGCAACAGCCAGTGTATTCTGGCTCAGAGGAGACATTTAGAGTAGTAAGAAATCAGCAGCAAGGGCAAGGCTGCTGCTACTACTGCTGCTGTGATATGTGCCAAAGAAACACAAAGTGCTTCTCAAAGACAAGTACACCTCTTCAGATATTTACTTTGTTTGCTCAATAAATTTTCCCGTATAGATTTTAGTATAGAATGTAAGGGCATGTCATGGTTTTTATCTTATTCTACTTCTCAACATCACAGTGCTCTAAAATGTATCTTTAACAATCTGCTACATACTAGTCATATATGTGAATATTGTTGACTAACGAGACCATGGAATGCCTTAATGTAAGATTTTAAATGCATCGATATTAGTGATTTTATAAAAACAAAATTCTTTTTCCTTTTCTCCAGGTCACTGACCAACCCAAAATGGATCTTTTAATTGCACTTCTACCTAGGAATGTGCCATTAAGTGCAGGCTTGGTGCAGTATCCTTGCCAGGGCAGTTGGGATTTTCAGATTTGGTATGATAACAGTAAACAGTTGTCTTTATATTTTTTATCATAAAATCTCAGATTCTTGGAATAATGCCATGAATGCAAGAAGAGCAAAACGAATGATACAGCCTCTGGCTGATAATCTGATGGTGAATGAAGAATTTGTAATTAAAGGAAACAGTCCTATTACATCGCGGGGAGCACACTCTGTTAGAGCAGCATACTAGCTTTAGGGTATCCTAGGTTCTGTTCACAGTTCAGCCATTGACTTAATTGTATAATTTCAAACAAGTCATGACTGCCGTTTACCTCAGTTCATATGAAAATAATGAACTTTTTCTCTTTCACAGAGATGTTAAGAAAAATTTGGTTTAAGACAAATAATGTCGGGGGGAAAAAACCTTCAATATCCACTGTAAGAGTCCTGTGGAAGTTCTTTTCTGACCTCCTGGATTGTCTGTCTTTCCATTTTTCTCTTTGCTGTCTTTACTGGAGAACTCATAGTACTGTATTTTTGTTCACTTTTAAATCTGTCAATTAAATATGCTTTTACCTTCTGGGTAATCTTACTGTTGCCACAATGATATAGGTAAAAAGACATCAACGAGATCAAAACAAAGAAATTTAATTCATTATTGAGTTTATGTGATATGGTAGAAAAAGTTAGCAATGTGATCTACTGGACTCAGTAACATATTACTTGCTTTTTTTTCTTTTTTAATAACATATTTTTAAGTACTCTGATGAGAGAAAACCAGCGAAATTTAGAATATATAAAATCATCTTTAATGCCTTCGTTAGCATTGCAATCTCACTGATTAATATGAGTTTTGAAATTATGTTCATCACTTACCACAATATTTCATTTTTTAAAACATTGAAA